ATTCCCATCTTCAATTGCTCCATCTAGGGTTCCCTCATGTAAGATTTGCATGCCCAAATATTTGTATTCAGTACATTGTTTTATTTCTTGTCCGTTATTCAAATCAAATCAAAACATGCTTTATTGTACAAAATACCATTGATATTTATTGAGAAAGCTAATACCTATAGACTATTAAAAAATAGATAAAAAATAAAAATAAAGAATTTATACCTACTATATAATATGCACACATACGCATATCCAGACATACATACCTGCATACCAACACAGTCAAAAATAACTTGAAAACAAATAAATGTAGAAAATAAAAATACACAGTCCAATATAACTTAAAAATAAATAAATGTAAATACAACAGTATAAGGTATACAACAATTAACAAGTAAAACGATACATACGAAACACCTTACATCAAAACATTTAGAAGCATTAGGAAGCTCCTTATTCAAATTCAGAGTTCGTTGTTCACCTCCTATAGTCATATATTCTGTTTTAGTTAGATTTACTTCCAAAACTCATTTCTCGTATTTCTCTATCAATTTTCGTGTCATCAATGTACTCTAGGTCATCATAGTCCTGTGCAATTGATACTTGATCGTCTGCAAAGCTTAAAATATATAGATTTTATTCATTAATCCGTATTCCCATGCGTGTGCATTAGTTTTTCAACCCCTTAAGCGCTTGTTCTAGGTATATTTTAAAAAGTGTTGGTGATATACAGCTTCCTTGTTTAATTCCTTTAGTTGCTATAAAGCCTTTACTGATTAGGTATGTTTTCCTGTTTAATATTGGTCTTTGCATCACTATAGAGCGTTTTAACTGCCTTTATTAGTTCTAAGTTGATATTGGTCTTTTCCAGTGCTTCCCAAAGCTTTTTCAGCGGAACATTGCTTTCTTTAGATCTACAAAAAGTAAATGGAGTTTTTGGTTATACGCTAGTTTCTTTTGTATTACCGGGGTCAAACTGAATTCTTTCTTACATACAGATACCTTAAAAATCTTTTTTGTATTCTCTCTATAAGATCAATATTTGTGTTTGCTGTTGGTGACCAACTAACCATACCACAGTTGCATACTCCACATGGGGCCTTACAAGTGCATTATAGAACAACAGTATTCATCTGAAAATTCCCACTGTTACATATTACAAATCCCAGCCTTACTGGTTATGCAGTTGTGATGTTTGTTGAATTTCAAATTCATCTCAAAGTTAACGCAGAGATCCTTCACTTTACTTTTCCTTTCTATCTTAGTACCACTTATGTAATAATCCTCAATAAGATGATTTACTTTACGAGTAAAAGACACGACCATACACTTTTTAACATTAAGAGACATCTTGTTCTCATCAAACCACTGCAGGACAGAGTCAAGATCTTTCTGTAATTTTATGCAGTCATTTTCATTGGATATTTGTTTAAATAATTTAGTCATCTGCATAAAGCAAACTGGTAGATGAAAAGGAGGGGGCCCAAGTTGCTTCCTTGGGGTACACCCGATGTAACAGAGTATTGGCCAGATCTAGACCGCCCCACTTTGACTATCTGTTGTCTATCCTAAGTATGACTTCATTAGATTAAATGCACTCTGTGAAAAATCAAAATTGATCAGCCTACCCAGAAGCCTGCAGAGGTTTACTCTATCAAAAACCTTAGCACAGTCCATATATGTGACATCCAACTGCTCTTTGTTCTCTATTGCTTGTGATGCATGCTCCGTAAATAAACTCAAATTTGAAATTGTTGACCTATCATTTGTAGATTGTAGATTTCGGGGGAGTCATTTCGGGGGAGTCGTTTCGGCTTTTCAGCCGCTCAGCACATTATTGTTATTATTATTATTATTATTATTATTATTAATTTGTCTCCAGGAAGCGTAGACTTCTGGTGACAGTGTTGGAGGACAGGAATTTGAGCCTCTTGCAGAATTGGGCTGGACATTCGCAGAGCAGGTGCCAACATAATGTCACTTTGACTTTTATCTTTAAAAAAAAAACACACTTTATGAAGATGTGTTTTTTTTTGAGGCTTTGGTTAAGACACTCTTGTGCACATATATCTATGGCAAGCAGTTTGGTTTGAAATATTGTAAGATGTTTACCCAATGCCTTGGAGAGCTGAGAGCTTGAAGTTAGGGCCGGAAATGCCCAGTCCAGCTCCTTCCATTAGCTTGGATCCATCTGTGTACCACAGAGATGCATTGTCTGCTTGTGGCAATTCTTTATTCTCCCATGATTGGCGGTCGTTTATTACCACTGCGAAGGGGATCTCTAAGTCCAATCTGACCATCATGTGGTCACTTGGTTTGCTGGCATTCTGCAGTTTTATTAGATCAAGGATTCTCAGATGTCTCTTCAGATCGCCAGGCTTAAACTTGTCTATTTGGAATAGCCTGTGAGCGCTGGTTATTGCCTCCTTTTTCACACATAGGTGAAGTGGGGGCGAGAGTAGGGGCATGTTGAATAGCGTCTCTAGGGCTGTGGTGGGGCAAGTTGACATTGCTCTCGTTATTCCTAGACATATCAGCCTTTGCACCTTTCTTAGCTTGATCTGAGCGGTGACTTGTTGGGTTTTGGGCCACCACACCAATGAGGCGTATGTGACCATGGGCTTTATAATAGCTTGGTAGATCCAGAATACCATCTTTGGTTTTAGCCCCCATGTTTTGCCAACAAGTTTTCGGCATGACCAAATGGCTGATGTAGCTCGAGAGCATGTTTTCTCTAACTGTTTCTTCCAAGTGAGGGTTCGGTCCAGGGTGACCCCTAAGTACTTCACTTCGTTGGAAAATGTTAGTTGTGTACCGTTAAGGGTCGGGGCTTTCAAATTTAGCTTCCTTCTTCTTGTGAACGGGACAAGGATTGTTTTGTTTGCGTTTAGGGATAGTCCTTCGCCTTCGCCCCAATTTTTAACGATGTTTACGGCACTTTGCATGACCTGTCATGAACAAATCCATGTTGGGTCATTGTTATTGTGTTTAACGTGTTCATAGATATCACTATACAAGATACATTCAATTTTTTTCCCGCTTTTATGAATAGGGGAAACTATGGCTGTTTTCAAGTTGGTTGGAAAACATTCTTGTTTGATAGCCAAGTTAAAAATAGAGTATACCAAAGGCTTTAATAAGAAATCCACGCAGCCCTTATAAATATAAGAGGGAATTTCATTATTGCCAGTGGACTCTTAGATTTTAAATCCTTTATGCTCTTTCTAACCTCTGCTCCAGTTATCTTTGAAAAAAATAGAAATTGCCGTACCCAGTGCTTTCATGATCACAGCCAGAGCAGTCGGACGTCTCATACACAGACCCAAAGTAATCCGTAAATGCATTTGCTATGCCTGCTAGATCACTGAAGTTTTCCTCACCTAACCTCATTTCCGCTGGCCTTCCACTTTGATTTATTCTAGACTGAACAAACGCCCAAAACCTGTGAGAGACATTGTTATGTTCCAGCGATTTCTTGTAAGAGTTATACTCAGCTGTCCTTTAGTTGCTTTAAAGCCTTTACTGATTATGTTTTCCTGTTTAATCTTGATCTTTGCATAATTATAGAGCATTTTTACTGCCTTTATTAGTTCTAAGTTTATATTGGTCTCTTCCAGTGCTTCCCAAAGTTTTTTCAGCGGAACATTGTCATATGCCTTCTTTAGATCTACAAAGAGTAAACGGAGTTCTTGGTTATGCGCTAGTTTCTTTTCCATTCTTCTCCCCTTCCTGTTCGTCTGTTAAAGTCTCCCAGCAATATTATTTCCCTTGAAGTTCCTACTTTTATGATTTATATTAACAGGTACGTCTTCGTTCACTCCATGTATTCCCAAGATTGTTATTCTCTTTCCGAACATACATACATTTAGTTTTATTATTGTTTCGTTCACTGCTTCCCATGATGTTATATGTTTTCTCCATTTCCTGTGTATGAAGATCGAAACTCCCTTTCTTCGCTCTGAATTCTTTTTGAACCCCGCTGAAGAAATGATCGTACTCTCCCAGATTTTCTTAGCCGTGTCGCCCCTGTCCTTTCTTTTTGGTCTCTGTGGCGACTAGCAGGTCCATTTTTTGATATTTTATCTCTGATATCACTTCATTTATTTGTCTAGAGATTCCTTGAACGTTCCATGTACCCATACTCATTGTCCGTTTCCGTTGCCTAGTTCGTCTCCGTGTTTCGGTTCTGTTCCGAGGCTGTTGATTGGGTTTTTTAACAGTCTACATTTTTTTCCGAGTAACGGGGAGTTAGCCCGATGCCTCAGCATCCTACCAGGGGGACCAGTTAATTTGTGATCAAGGTTGTCTTCCTCTAGCCTTTGATGAGCTAACATTCAGCTACAAGGCAGCAGCAGGATTAATATTAATTTCTATTAATACATGACCAGCTTCAAGCAACTTTAATTGAAAGTTTGACTGATTCAGTCACATAATACATAGAGTTTGACTGAATCAAACTTCCTGTAGATATGCTAGCAATTGGATCAACCAGGTTTCCTGTGATCATTTGACTTTTGTTCAACTTTTTTCCATCCATCTCTATTGGTTAACTAAAATCGCCTCAAAAATCGCTATCTGAGAAGACACCCATTTGTGTATCGATTCAATTTTTTTTTTAAAGATTGAGTACATTCTGTTTCTGGCTCTGATCCAATTCTAAATCTTAATTCAAGCAAACCTAATAAGCTGAGATGATATTGGCTAAGAAAAATACACTGATAGCCAATCCTTCATGTGACCTAGCCTATATATTAGTTGGTATAAAATTAAATTATGTGATATTGTTATCGAAGTTTCCCAACTATAATGTCAGCTTAAATAATAAATGTCCCGTGATTCTAAAGTAAAAGGTTTGAGGTATTTGTAGAGTCGCATCTTTTAAAAAGATGCAGAATTCCAAATACCAAATGAGAAACGGCATAAATGAGGACATTAAAAATTATCAAAATTATTTTATAAGTACTGAAAAAAAAACTACTTAATACCTAGTTTTTTTGTTTGTTTTCTAGGGCAAAGATACTGAGCGTCGACCACCTAAATCCCGGCTTCATTGAAGTATTTTTCACAGATTATGGAAACAAGGATATAGTAGCAACCGATAATGTCCGAAGCACGCATGCGTTTCCAGACGCATTTCTTAATATTCCGCCCTCTGCTCATCCTTTCATACTCGCTGAAGGCCACTGTCCTGGTAAGATATGAGCCAATAACCTATAATTATTGAACAGCTTCTACCATTATAATATATTCTACAATGACTTTTATTGGTTTCTAGTCAGACGTTCCAGATTTATTTGTGTTACCTATGTGGCATGAAATTAGTTGAAAGAACCAGATCATTATTTGCGTGTAGTGTGTAGTTGACCCTCTATTTTGAACCACAGATTAACCCGTCCTAAAGATAGGAAACTCGTGCCTTTTCCCCTATCCTTGTCTTACTCATACAACGAGTTGTATGACTGCCCAGCATGGGGGCGCTAGTGTGCACTTCAGTGTGTTCAGTGTTGTAGCAGTAGTCACGTGGTCTCCCGCCTTTTTTCAAATAATTTGTCCCTAATCGATTTTATTTTATTATTATCTGTAATTTTTTTTGAAATAAAACAACAACATTTTAGTACCTACCATCTCCTTCTTTATTGGAACAGCCTTAAACACAACAATAATAGAAAAACTTATTGAAAAAAAAAACAATAAAAAGTTTATAATACTGCAAATAAAATTCACTAATTCCACACTCAGCAAAGTCTCTGAGGATAAAGTGCTGATGGCATGAATTCAAAAGCTTCCACTGCAGTAAACCGGTGTGAAGTTAGCAGCCAAAACTTGGCAGCCAATTTGACGGAAACGCCCGAACGACCAGTGGCGTAGCATTGTTTTTTAATTCAACATAAATTCAATCAACCATACTTGGACATCGAGTCTAGCCATGAAATTGATAGGGTACTATTTTAATATCATCTCCAATCCCCATGCGAAATCCCATTAACTCAAACCCCGTCGAAATATGAAAAACTACCCTTAACAAGTGAAAATGCATAAATATTAAGATTTTCGTATTTTTTCCAACTCGGACTTTGAGTCTTGCCATGAAATTAATAGGGTACTATTTCAGCACCATCTCAAACTCCCATGCAAAATCCCATCAACTCAAACCCCGTCGAAATATGAAAAACTACCCTTAACAAGTGAAAATACATTAATCTTGAGATTTTCGAATTTTTCCCAACTCGGACTTCGAGTCTTGCCATGAAATTAATAGGGTACTATTTCAGCACCATCTCCAACCCACCCGCAAAATCCCATGAACTCAAACGCCGTCGAAATATGAAAAATTACCCTTAACAAGTAAAAATGCATGAATATTAATATTTTCGTATTTTTTCCAACTCGGACTTCGAGTCTTGCCATGAGTTTAATAGGGTACTATTTCAGCACCATCTCCAACCTCCATGCAAAATCCCATTAACTCAAACCCCGTCGAAATATGAAAAACTACCCTTAACAAGTGAAAATGCATTAATATTGAGATTTTCGTATTTATGCCTTTTCACTTGTTAAGGGTAGTTTTTCATATTTCGACGGAGTTTGAGTTGATGGGATTTTGCATAGGGGTTGAATATGGTGCTGAGAGACTACCCTATTAATTTCATGGCAAGACTCGTAGTCCGAGTTGGAAAAATACCAAAATCTCAAAATTAATGTATTTTCACTTGTTAAGGGTAGTTTTTCATATTTCTACGGGGTTTGAGTTAATGGGATTTTGCTTGGGGGTTGGATATGGTACTGAGAAAGTACCCTATTAATTTCATGGCAAGACTCGAAGTCCGAGTTGGGAAAAATACGAAAATATCAATATTTATGCATTTTTACTTGTTAAGGGTAGTTTTTCATATTTCGACGGGGTTGGAGTTGATGGGATTTTGCATGGGGGTTGGAGATGGCGCTGAAATAGTACCCTATTAATTTCATGGCAAGACTCGAAGTCCGAGTTGGAAAAAATACGAAAATCTCAAGATTAATGTATTTTCACTTAAGGGTAGTTTTTCATATTTCGACGGGGTTTGAGTTAATGGGATTTTGCATGGGGGTTGGATATGGTACTGAGACAGTATCCTATTAATTTCATGGCAAGACTCGAAGTCCGAGTTGGAAAAAATACGAAAATATCAATATTTATTCATTTTTACTTGTTAAGGGTAGTTTTTCATATTTCGACGGGGTTTGAGCTCATGAGATTTTGCGGGTGGGTTGGAGATGGTGCTGAAATAGTACCCTATCAATTTCATGGCAAGACTCGAAGTCCGAGTTGGAAAAAATTCGAAAATCTCAAGATTAATGCATTTTCACTTGTTAAAGGTAGTTTTTCATATTTCGACGGGGTTTGAGTTAATGGGATTTTGCATGGGGGTTGGATATGGTAGTACTGAGACAGTACCCTATTAATTTCATGGCAAGACTCGAAGTCCGACTTGGAAAAAATACGTAAATCTCAAGATTAATGTATTTTCACTTGTTAAGGGTAGTTTTTCATATTTCGACGGGGTTTGAGTTAATGGGATTTTGCATGGGGGTTGGATATGGTACTGAGACAGTACCCTATTAATTTCATGGCAAGACTCGAAGTCCGAGTTGGAAAAAATACGAAAATATCAATATTTATGCATTTTTACTTGTTAAGGGTAGTTTTTCATATTTCGCCGGGGTTTGAGCTCATGAGATTTTGCGGGTGGGTTGGAGATGGTGCTGAAATAGTACCCTATCAATTTCATGGCAAGACTCGAAGTCCGAGTTGGAAAAAATTCGAAAATCTCAAGATTAATGCATTTTCACTTGTGAAAGGTAGTTTTTCATATTTCGACGGGGTTTGAGCTCATGAGATTTTGCGGGTGGGTTGGAGATGGTGCTGAAATAGTACCCTATCAATTTCATGGCAAGACTCGAAGTCCGAGTTGGAAAAAATTCGAAAATCTCAAGATTAATGCATTTTCACTTGTTAAAGGTAGTTTTTCATATTTCGACGGGGTTTGAGTTAATGGGATTTTGCATGGGGGTTGGAGATGGTGCTGAAATAGTACCCTATTAATTTTATGGCAAGACTCGAAGTCCGAGTTGGAAAAAATACGAAAATATCAATATTTATTCATTTTTACTTGTTAAGGGTAGTTTTTCATATTTCGACGGGGTTGGAGTTGATGGGATTTTGCATGGGGGTTGGAGATGGTGCTGAAATAGTACCCTATTAATTTCATGGCAAGACTCGAAGTCCGAGTTGGAAAAAATACGAAAATCTCAAGATTAATGTATTTTCACTTAAGGGTAGTTTTTCATATTTCGACGGGGTTTGAGTTAATGGGATTTTGCATGGGGGTTGGATATGGTAGTACTGAGACAGTACCCTATTAATTTCATGGCAAGACTCGAAGTCCGACTTGGAAAAAATACGTAAATCTCAAGATTAATGTATTTTCACTTGTTAAGGGTAGTTTTTCATATTTCGACGGGGTTTGAGTTAATGGGATTTTGCATGGGGGTTGGATATGGTACTGAGACAGTACCCTATTAATTTCATGGCAAGACTCGAAGTCCGAGTTGGAAAAAATACGAAAATATCAATATTTATGCATTTTTACTTGTTAAGGGTAGTTTTTCATATTTCGACGGGGTTTGAGCTCATGAGATTTTGCGGGTGGGTTGGAGATGGTGCTGAAATAGTACCCTATCAATTTCATGGCAAGACTCGAAGTCCGAGTTGGAAAAAATTCGAAAATCTCAAGATTAATGCATTTTCACTTGTGAAAGGTAGTTTTTCATATTTCGACGGGGTTTGAGTTAATGGGATTTTGCATGGGGGTTGGAGATGGTGCTGAAATAGTACCCTATTAATTTTATGGCAAGACTCGAAGTCCGAGTTGGCAAAAATACGAAAATATCAATATTTATTCATTTTTACTTATTAAGGGTAGTTTTTCATATTTCGACGGGGTTGGAGTTGATGGGATTTTGCATGGGGGTTGGAGATGGTGCTGAAATAGTACCCTATTAATTTCATGGCAAGACTCGAAGTCCGAGTTGGAAAAAATACGAAAATCTCAAGATTAATGTATTTTCACTTAAGGGTAGTTTTTCATATTTCGACGGGGTTTGAGTTAATGGGATTTTGCATGGGGGTTGGATATGGTACTGAGACAGTACCCTATTAATTTCATGGCAAGACTCGAAGTCCGAGTTGGAAAAAATACGTAAATCTCAAGATTAATGTATTTTCACTTGTTAAGGGTAGTTTTTCATATTTCGACGGGGTTTGAGTTAATGGGATTTTGCATGGGGGTTGGATATGGTACTGAGACAGTACCCTATTAATTTCATGGCAAGACTCGAAGTCCGAGTTGGAAAAAATACGAAAATATCAATATTTATGCATTTTTACTTGTTAAGGGTAGTTTTCCATATTTCGACGGGGTTTGAGTTCATGGGATTTTGCGGGTGGGTTGGAGATGGTGCTGAAATAGTACCCTATTAATTTCGTGGCAAGACTCGAAGTCCGAGTTGGAAAAAATACGAAAATATCAATATTTATGCATTTTTACTTGTTAAGGGTAGATTTTATATTTCGACGGGGTTTGAGTTCATGGGATTTTGCGGGTGGGTTGGAGATGGTGCTGAAATAGTACCCTATTAATTTCATGGCAAGACTCGAAGTCCGAGTTGGAAAAAATACGTAAATCTCAAGATTAATGTATTTTCACTTGTTAAGGGTAGTTTTTCATATTTCGACGGGGTTTGAGTTAATGGGATTTTGCATGGGGGTTGGATATGGTACTGAGACAGTACCCTATTAATTTCATGGCAAGACTCGAAGTCCGAGTTGGAAAAAATACGAAAATATCAATATTTATGTATTTTTACTTGTTAAGGGTAGTTTTCCATATTTCGACGGGGTTTGAGTTCATGGGATTTTGCGGGTGGGTTGGAGATGGTGCTGAAATAGTACCCTATTAATTTCGTGGCAAGACTCGAAGTCCGAGTTGGAAAAAATACGAAAATATCAATATTTATGCATTTTTACTTGTTAAGGGTAGTTTTCCATATTTCGACGGGGTTTGAGTTCATGGGATTTTGCGGGTGGGTTGGAGATGGTGCTGAAATAGTACCCTATTAATTTCGTGGCAAGACTCGAAGTCCGAGTTGGAAAAAATACGAAAATATCAATATTTATGCATTTTTACTTGTTAAGGGTAGATTTTATATTTCGAGGGGGTTTGAGTTCATGGGATTTTGCGGGTGGGTTGGAGATGGTGCTGAAATAGTACCCTATTAATTTCATGGCAAGACTCGAAGTCCGAGTTGGAAAAAATACGTAAATCTCAAGATTAATGTATTTTCACTTGTTAAGGGTAGTTTTTCATATTTCGACGGGGTTTGAGTTAATGGGATTTTGCATGGGGGTTGGATATGGTACTGAGACAGTACCCTATTAATTTCATGGCAAGACTCGAAGTCCGAGTTGGAAAAAATACGAAAATATCAATATTTATGTATTTTTACTTGTTAAGGGTAGTTTTCCATATTTCGACGGGGTTTGAGTTCATGGGATTTTGCGGGTGGGTTGGAGATGGTGCTGAAATAGTACCCTATTAATTTCGTGGCAAGACTCGAAGTCCGAGTTGGAAAAAATACGAAAATATCAATATTTATGCATTTTTACTTGTTAAGGGTAGTTTTCCATATTTCGACGGGGTTTGAGTTCATGGGATTTTGCGGGTGGGTTGGAGATGGTGCTGAAATAGTACCCTATTAATTTCGTGGCAAGACTCGAAGTCCGAGTTGGAAAAAATACGAAAATATCAATATTTATGCATTTTTACTTGTTAAGGGTAGATTTTATATTTCGACGGGGTTTGAGTTCATGGGATTTTGCGGGTGGGTTGGAGATGGTGCTGAAATAGTACCCTATTAATTTCGTGGCAAGACTCGAAGTCCGAGTTGGAAAAAATACGAAAATATCAATATTTATGCATTTTTACTTGTTAAGGGTAGTTTTCCATATTTCGACGGGGTTTGAGTTCATGGGATTTTGCGGGTGGGTTGGAGATGGTGCTGAAATAGTACCCTATTAATTTCGTGGCAAGACTCGAAGTCCGAGTTGGAAAAAATACGAAAATATCAATATTTATGCATTTTTACTTGTTAAGGGTAGATTTTATATTTCGACGGGGTTTGAGTTCATGGGATTTTGCGGGTGGGTTGGAGATGGTGCTGAAATAGTACCCTATTAATTTCATGGCAAGACTCGAAGTCCGAGTTGGAAAAAATACGTAAATCTCAAGATTAATGTATTTTCACTTGTTAAGGGTAGTTTTTCATATTTCGACGGGGTTTGAGTTAATGGGATTTTGCATGGGGGTTGGATATGGTACTGAGACAGTACCCTATTAATTTCATGGCAAGACTCGAAGTCCGAGTTGGAAAAAATACGAAAATATCAATATTTATGTATTTTTACTTGTTAAGGGTAGTTTTCCATATTTCGACGGGGTTTGAGTTCATGGGATTTTGCGGGTGGGTTGGAGATGGTGCTGAAATAGTACCCTATTAATTTAATGGCAAGACTCGAAGTCCGAGTTGGAAAAAATTCGAAAATCTCAAGATTAATGTATTTTCACTTGTTAAGGGTAATTTTTCATATTTCGACGGGGTTTGAGTTAATGGGATTTCGCATGGGGATTGGAGATGATATTAAAATAGTACCCTATCAATTTCATAGCTCGATGTCTAAGTATGGTTTATTGAATTTATTTTGAATTAAAAAACAATGCTACGCCACTGGTCGTTCGGGCGTTTCCGTCAAATTGGCTGCCAAGTTTTGGCTGCTAACTTCACACCGGTCTGCAGTAATACCTATGCTATAAATGAAGGTATATTTTTAGGAATTTTGGTCTTATTTGGTACACAAATCACACTTCATGTGAATGTCAAACAATGGCGAATTAAAACCATCACTAAACCCATTTCCACGAGCATTTCCACTATGTTGGAATCTAACATAAACTCGAACATAAAGTATCTTTTTTTAAAAACATATTAAGAAGTCAACGTTTCATCAAAAATTGATAGGAAATTAAATAAAAGAACACTAACACAGATCCACCACAGATCAAACGGCTAACTGATGACAAACATATTGACAAATTATATTCACCATTCACAGTTCACAGATGACATTTGCTTGTGGCTTTGTATACTAGCGCCGCATAGCTTTGGCAGTCATGAAGCTCCACACGTGTTATTTTCGAGACAGCTCCGAACGAACATTTTACATGGAAGTTTCCTATCTTTAGGACGGGTTAATCTGTGTTTTGAACCATGTAATTAAATATGAAATTCAAGGTTCTGCTTCAATGGGTGGTATGAATAAAAATGAAGTACGTGCTACTACTACAAGTACATATTGGTATATTCTTCGCAGTATTTACTTCACAAAGAAGCATTTACTAATTTGTGGTAGTGTCGAAATGTAGTATCTACTTTGTTTTGGAGTAAATACTATGTAGCAAGTACTCCGTTTTTATTCATACCACCCAATTGGATTTTGTTTTAATTAAGTATGGGTTTATCTGATGAGATCTACTGGAATATTTCAAATTTAGAGAAAATTATTACTTCATAAGGTTGTTTATCCAAATACTGAAAATTATTTCAAATAAATAAATAAAATATAAAATATTCTTCCATAATAATTACTTACTATACTTGGGTTGATTTTAATGAGCGTTGCTCAACATTCTTGAGATAAGTGGCCACATGAGTTTCAAATGACCCAGGTATTTTTTTTTTTTTTTCAACATAGGCTTTTATATACATATTCCTTAAATAAAGATGCATAGTCTGAGTCTACCACAACTGGTAAAAATCAATAGTTGTTCTATTTTTACTTCTTTATTCCTCATTACTTTATAATATAAAATCATCTATAGAGGACTAAAATAAGACCTTAAGGTACCAAACCAACATAAAGCAGCTTTTTTTATTTCTATATGTTATGAATTCCAAAATAAATGAACTTGAGAGCTGCAGCAAGTTATTTTTTCTTCCAAGAAATTGTAAATAAGGGATTTACAGTCATGAGCACAAAAAGTGGGACACTCGACTGACAGGTCTTGTCATTTTTCGCTATTTTGCGTAAATCAGTCTTCTCTCTACAATCGATTTTGTAAGCAGGCGTTGAATCCCTAAACCCATTATTATTCTCGAAGTCCGACAATGTAAACTGTGCTTTAAACACAATTCTTTTTAGTTGAAGGCAACTGGAACGATCATTTATTCCAAACCATTTCAAAACAGTTGAAATACAGAGAGGTACAGTGTCAAGTGGTGGCTCAAACCTGCAACTTGTACCTTGCCAAATTCTACATAGACAGAAATGACTTGGGAATGATATTTATCAATCAGGGTTTGTTGCAAGCAATACCTTTAGCCTCACAACAAGCAGTGTTGCTTAGTATGAATCTCCTAACAAGAGAGAAAGCTTCAGCTGCTCCTGCTGTACCAGCAGTACCGGCAGTTACAGAGATTAATACTTATAAGGCCTGCACTTTAGGTAAGCTAAATATTATTTGTTGAGAGTCGCCAAAAGCAAAAAGCCACATCGTATTTTTTTTCACTCTGGTTTGAACAGACTTCTATTTTGTTTATTTTTATAGAACCAAACCAACAATATGCTGTCTATGTATCATTCGTTAATGAGGGCCCCACACATTTTTCGGTGCAACTTAAACAATCTGAAAACTTGCTTGCCAAGCTAATGAAAGAAATCAATGAGATGAACCTTCGTTTGTTGGAAGACGTACCGTTACCCGGTACTATTTGCTTGGCAAGATGTGAGGAAGATGGAAATGTGTGCAGGGCTGTCGTTACCAATGAAGTGGATACTCAGTTTAAGGTAAGGACTTTTGAGTGGTCATTTAAAGCGCTTCATTTCCTAATCAATTTCAAACCCGATTTCAGGTGTTCTATGTAGATTTTGGCAACTACGAAACTATTTCGCTAGAAATGCTTTATCAAATCCCCTTTAAATATGTCTTACCCAAAGTTATGGCTATCAGAGTAGCACTCGAAGGTGTCGAAAAACCCACAGTTACCATGGAAATGTTGAAGGCTTTTAAAAAGTTTGTTGATAATAGGCTTTTGCATATGAAAGTGTTGCCATCTCTTAAAAAATCAGCTATTACCAAGTGTGAGCTGTGGGATCCTGCGACTAAGACGAGTGCTCTTGATGTCATTCTTCGAGCTGCTCAACATGCCTACCCCGAACCTCTACTTTTGAACAGAGGATGTACTCAACCTATAAAAGTAAGCTATGTTTTTAGCTGTAACAGATTTTACGTACAGCTGACTAGCAAAGAAGGGGAACTTTCAAAACTCATGGAAGAATTACAAGTTTCATGTCAATCCAACCAACCAGTTTCTGACCTAAAAATTGGTAAGTTAAATATAGCTGGTTCATCAAAAATCACTTCAATTTGTTATTTTAGGGCTACCTTGTGCTGCACTTTTCGAAGAAGACCAGCTATGGTATAGGAGCCAAATTGTTGATATAATAAGCAAGGATCAAATCAAAGTTAGATACATTGATTATGGTAACGAAGAAGTGGTAGGCACCAAGAATTTACAGATGGTAGAAGGGGAACTGTTGACCGTTCTTCGTCCTCAAGCCATAGAATGTTGCCTTAATGGTTACCAAAATATGGGAGAAGATCTTACAAGAGACGCTTTCCTAGAACAACTAATACTCGAACAGTCTTTTACTATGAAAGTGAGCGAAATGCTTGGGAATAAGGTGAGAATTGTCAATAATTTACTTGTTTTTGGCTAGTGACCCTAGTAATGATTCGATTAGTTTTTATAAGTTGGATTCAGGTCAATAAAACAGTGTTAGAGATGAAAAATATGTATGTGCCGATGTTTCGACCTAAATTAGGTCATCCTCGGGGCACTAAATATTAGGATAATAATTGACAAATTCATAATAAAATATGAATAAATAAAATAAAAAACAGTTACAATACACAATTCTTAATGGTTTCAACAACTGATATTACTTACATTCAAGTTATCACTCCAGTGTACAAATTAAAATGATGGTAAAGAACATGTTAACAGTCTAATTTAATATACCGGGTGTTTTTCAAAACCCGCTCACCCCTATAACTTTTTTATTTTTCCAAATAATCAAATGAAATTTGGTGTGTTTATTTATGACCCAGATGTACATTATTTGACTTATTCAATCATTTATTATCATTTCCGGTTTGGCCGGAAGTGACCGTAAATTTCTTATTCTAAATGAGACGCCAGGTATATTTTCCCTTATTTCAATAGAAAACTACATTACGAGTACAATGACACCTCATTTGTCACTTTTTGACATTTCATCTTCAAAGGACCCCGCAATATTTAAATGGAAATTGGTTACCCGTGATATTTGGATGAAATTTTAATATGTTATTGGGGATGCCGTGAGCAACATTTTTTACCATGGGCACAATCCTGTGTGTATGACAGATGAGGCGTGGTTAGCTGTCAAATATTGGAATCTTATATCCAAAAGCAGAGTAACTATATGGCAGATTTCAATGAACAAAAAATCTATTCCTACAAAGTCGACCAAGTTTAGTCGAAAAATGTCAACCATTTTGACACCTGTCAAAACCCTGCCAAACGGCAGCACTCATCTTTTCCAGTTTTCGATATTTTATGATGTCGTTTGACATTTTTAACTTGTATGTAAATTCTGAATTTAAAATTTGAAAAAAATTACATCATTGTGAATTTCATTTGTGAGTGTCAAAATGTTTGAGTACTTTAATGATTTCATTATAGTACTGAGTACTATAATGACTTTAATGAAATAAAATCCCTTATACTGAAACTAAATACTTTAAAATGTAAATCAACATCTCTATCAAAATCTGAAACCTGCGTATAATGTTTTTTCATGCGTTATCATAAATAAGCCTAAGTTAAATTGGAAAAGAACTAGATTTGATTCATTTTTGAATTAAAGCTATTGGCAGATTCTGACAGCTGTCAAAATGTGACGTGCATGAACTTTGTTCAATGTTTTATCACCAATAAACTACCTTAAAACGAGAAAGAACCAGATTAGATTATTTTTTTCTACTAAAACAAATGACAGGTTTTGACAGTTCTGTAATTTTTTTTCTTCAATTTTTGAATTCAGAATTTACATACAAGTTAAAAATGTCAAATGACATCATAAAATATTGAAAACTGGAAAAGATGAGTGCTGCCGTTTGGCAGGGTTTTGACAGGTGTCAAAATGGTTGACATTTTTCGACTTAACTTGGTCGACTTAATATAAATAGATTTTTTTTCATCAAAATCTGCCATAGTTACTCTGCTTTTGGGTATAAGATTCCAATATCTGACAGCCAACCACGCCTCACCTGTCATATATACAGGATTGTGCCGATGGTAAAAAATTTTGCTTACGGCATCCCCAATAACATATTAAAATTTCATCCAAATATCACGGGTAACCAATTTCCATTTAAATATTGCGGGGTCCTTTTTTAAATTTTTACTTTTTAATCTAGAGTGCCATGAATTACTTAAAATGCTTAATTTTACTCCAAGGAACCTGTGAAAATTTGTTTTGATCTTATTTTGCATTTTATATCCTCAACAGACTCATTTGAAGATAGTAGAAGCGCATGTTTGAAATTATATGATTTTTTTCAAATGGAAAGGGTATGGCTCATTAGCATATTCCGAGAGAGCATTTTCTAACGAACAATTTAGTACCACACAATTGCTAGTTTACTCAAATATTGAACTGAAATTTTCCAAAAATATTTAGAATGCTAGGAAAATTCTTCATTTGAGTGATGAACTAGCGATTGTGTGGTACTGAATTGCTCGTTAGAAAACGCTCTTTTGAAATATTGTAATGAGCCACACCCTTTCCATTTGAAAAAATTGAGATAATTACAAAAATGCACTTCTACTATTTTTTAATGAGTCTGTAGAGGATAATATAAAATACAAACTAAGATCAAAACAAATTTTCCCAGGTTCCTTGGAGCAAAATTAAGCATTTTAACTAATTCATGGCGCTCTAGAATCTAGATTGAAAAGTAAAAATTTTAAAAATTTGAAGATGAAATGTCAAAAAGTGACAAATGAGGTGTCATTATACTCATAATGAAGTGTTCTATTGAAATGAGGAAAAATATACCTGGCGTATCATTTAAAATAAGAAAGTTCGGGTTACTTCCGGCGAAACCGGAAGCGATAATAAATAATTGAATACGTCAAATAATGCACATCCGGCTTATAAATAAACACACCAAATTTCATTTGTTTATTTGGAAAAATAAAAAAGTTATAGGGGTGAGCGGGTTTTGAAAAACACCTGGTATAATACTTGTGGACTCGACTCATAATATAGAAAAAAAAAACTAAAAAAACAGTTTTAACGGTAATTTATAATTGATTTAACAGTCGAACCGACAAAAAGAGAGATGATTTAAGGTTCAGATCGTTCGACTGTCTACCGTATAATGTTATTGAAACTTATATGTACAGTTGCGGCCATTGGAATTGGCACAAACTTTAAGGACGCACCTCGTATTGCATCAAAATCTTACTTTTTAACAAGCTGTTAATGCCACAATTGTGTCAAAGTTATAAGTCAGTGGCAAACTAGAACAATGCGCCGTCACAGCGCGGTGGATGCGATCCGTAATCAAATCAGCTTTCAAAATAGTTCTTCCAATGTCAATATTTTCAATATTAGATTTGTTCGGACTTCAGTTCAGAATTGAACTACGCTTTCGCATTTCTTTATATAGGTTTGATATGACCAAATGCGCAAGCGCAGTCCAATTTAGAACTGATTTTGAAGTCCAAACAAACCTTTTTACTCATTATTGAATATTGACGGATTTTTCTTCTGAGTAAAGCAAAAACGGCCCAACTTCTAGTGTTTTGTGTAAAGTCTGATTTTTGTTTTGAATTTAGGAAACATTTATCTGGATTTAAAATGCACACCAACACCACAACATTCAGAACTATTTTGACATATTTTTTTAAACGTAGGTAACAGGTAAACTGTGACATATTTTCTGGTGGCGTTCATGCTGCACCTGTAGTTGTGTTTCACTCCAGCGTCCCCAAGCGGATGCGATCCGAAGCCTTTTTTTGAGGCCCCGCCCTCCATTCAGCTTTTTTTTCTATCCGTGAGGATATGTGTTCTGTGTTTTATTATTTATCTTTCATAATTATCATATTACTCACGCCACTGATTACTTTTGTTGGTTCCACTTTTTGTCAGATTTTGATGCAATACGAGTTTCCTTCAAAAAGTTTGTGCCAATTCCAATGGCCGCAACCAATGACTTATTAACACAGATAGACAGAACAATAAACAATAATATGGGTTGACTACATGCCAGGAACCGCATCTCTCCCTACTACTTATTAATCCTTGTGTTATTTTGTATCTTTCTCTAACACGTGGAAAGCGATTATTTTTCAATGAAAATTAGCAACGCTGCAAAAAAATAAATCCCACCTCGAATTCCACCTTTCCACCAATCAGCGGCTTCTATTCAATTGTCATGTCAAAATGCGACCTGCAGGTATTTTATGACAATTTCCATTTGTCAATCAGGGCGCAGTGAGTGTATCCGCATCTTTTTCTAAAATTATGTAAAATATAAGGCTAAGGATACACTTTTGTAGCACTGATTCTGGTAGAATTTTCAGAGTTGCCAAGTATGCGATAGTAAAATGGGGGCGGAGTTAGCGGAATCATTTGAATCCCTACTCCAAGCCGCTCTCACAGCTCACCCCCCCTGGCCAATAAACATGTAGTCAACCAAAACAAAGCTATTTTATAAATGGGATGTTCTGTCTAACTCAAATTGTTATAAATTATATCACCGGATAAGCAAAAAAAGGAACTTTGATTCCCCTGAAGCAGATTTTTGTTTTAAATTCCTATTTTGAAGCAAATAATTTGTAAAAATGAGGCATTTTCTCTCAATTTTGGTGACCAAAATTTAATTAATGAAATTGAAATTTCAAAAAATACATCACGAGAGTAAAAGATCAATTTCTTCCCTATTATACAGTGAGTTCATAAAGTCCCGCTTAAATTCATTATTTTGAAAACGGTAGATTTTTTGAAAAATCGCTCAGACACGTCAACTTTGTTTTTTTGTTTCAAATTTTTTAATATATTCTTTATCATACAGGGTGTCTCAAAAAAAGCTTCGCAGGTATCAACTTCATTTTTTTAAATAGTACCCCCTGTATATTATGACATTTCTGGATTCTACGGAAAATTCTAGACATATTTCATGTACATTGTCATATACCTATCTTCAACTGTTTCGGAAATATTGACAGTTGAAAATTGACTTTTTTTGCATCTTTGACAGACTCTAAAACCTGAACGGTTAATTTTACAGCAAAACCGATTTTACATTCCTATCTTGGTTTTTCATAGACTATCATTCAGGGTTGCATTGATTTAAATCACCTGATTTAAATCAGTGATTAAAATTGCGATTTTAATCAAATTAATATTATATTTTAATCGCATGATTTAAATCGCGATTTTGTAATTTGGTGATGAAAAGTATCAGTAAACATTAAATCAAAATGCAACTTATTGAATTTATCCACGCTACTGAAAAATGGGATATTTTAAATTTATCTTCGCAACTGAAACTGACATGTGGTAATCAGCTGTTAACAGCCAGTGGCATTCTTAGCACAGGCCGCACCATACCTTTATCTTTGTCTTTC